TTCAAAGCACATTGTTCTCTCTCACCCTTCTCTGTGATATGACCCTAGGCCAGTGATGGCAAACCTTTTAGAGCTTTCAGTGATACAAATACCCCACTGTGGCATGCGTACTATAAGCTCACACCACTGTCCTAGGCCTTCTGTTGTCATCTCACAGGTCTGTGAGACTATGCATAATGTTCACATTCATCATAGGGAATTTGTACCTCTACATGTCTTCTTCTTCCCCCAATCCCCTCCTCTCCCTTCAACCCCTCTTCCCCTCCTTATTTACAAAAGCTTTGTTTCCATTTTTCCTATTGTTTTTTAATTTTTGCTTTCCCCCTCCCCCCTCCCTTGTTCCTCTTTCCATTTGAACATTTTCTTATTTCCCAATATCTATCATATATTTTGGTCCTCATTTACCCTTTCAGTTTCTCACACCAGAGAAACAATGTGGTATTTAAACACGTTCGATTTTCAGCCATTAACTCTATCCAGTGAAATTTTAAATTTCAGTGTTTTTCAGTTCTAATATTTTCATTTAGTATTTACATCACCTATTTGCTAATTTCTATTTTAATATTCATTTCAAGCATGTTTGAGTGCTCATTTTGATTTTTTAATAATAGCTACTTTGAAGTCTATAATAGCACCTGTTGTCTTTCCTCATGAGTTTCAAGGTTATTCAAATGCTGAGATGTGTGGGGCTGCACCCCAGACATTGTAACTATTATGTGTTTAAATTCTATGGAGAGCAGCACCATGCAATCGACAAGAACAAGTGCCTTACAAAAGGCATCAAAAAAGAGAGCCAAGAAGAAAGTGGTTGATCCATTTTCTAAAAAAGACCGGTAGGATGTGAAGGCATTAGCTATGTTCAACATAAGATAGATTGGAAAAACAATGGTCACAAGGAGTCAATGAATCAAAATTGTATCTGATGAGCTCAAAAGTCCTGTGTTTGAAGGGAGCCTTGCTGATCTGCAGAGTGATGGAGTCGCCTTTAGAAAATTCAAGCTAATTACTGAAGATGTTCAGGGCAAAAACTGCCTGACTTCCATAGCACTGATCTTACCTGTGGCAAAATGTGTTCCATGGTCAAAAATGGCAGACCATGATCAAAGCTCACATTGATGTGAAGACTACCGATGGTTATTTGCTTGATTTTTTCTGTGCTGGTTTTACTGAAAAATGCAACAATCAGATACAGAAGACCTCTCGCACTCAACACCAAAAGGACTGCCAAATCCGGAAGAAGATGATGAAAGTCATGACCTGAGAGGTGCAGACAATGACTTGGAGGAAGTAGTCAATACATTGATTTTAGACAGCATGGAAAAGACATAGAAAAGGCTTGCCAGTCTATTTATCGTCTTCATGATGCTGTAGAAACCCAAGTTTGAAGTGGGAAAACTCAAAGCCTCATGAAGGCAGTAGCTCTGGAAAAGCTACTGGGGATGAGCCTGGTGCTAAAGTTGAACAAGCTGATGGATATGAACCACCAGTCCAAGAGTCTGTTTAAAATCCAGATTTTTAATAGGGATAAACATAATCCTATTTGTGAAAAAAAAAATTCTATGAAGAATGTTGATTTTTTTTGGTGTTTGTTGGCAATTGATCTGGCTAGGTTCAGGCCCCAAGTTTCAACCTGCCCTCTGAGGTACCCAGACCCATCCTACTTCTCACCACCTATGGTCAGTCTGACCTGAGCAGAGGTCACCTGTTAGCACAGGCCCCAGATAGTTTTAGTGTGCAATTAATTAGGATCAGCTCCACAGGGAGCATTGTAAACTGGCCAGGTACAGTAGTACCAGTAGTCCCAACCAGGCAAGCAGGTGGGGCGGCTCAGGAGCTCACACAAAACTCCGTGGAATCCTTTCCCAGGCTCTTCCCTCTCCCCTCTTCAGTGCTCTCTGGTGCCTGGAACTCCCACTGCTGTAACTGAGCCATTCCTCCAGCAAGAAGCAAGCGTGTGGGCTGCCGGGGATTTAGCTCAGTGGTTTTCCCACCTGCTGCGCAAGTGCAAGGACCCAAGTTCGATCCCCGGTACCAAAAAAAAAAGCAAGGGTGTTAGCCCTACTGACATGGTTGGATTTCCCTCCCATCAGACACATGTCTTCTGCAGACCCCCAGTGGAAACCAACGGGTTTTGTAGGAGCTTGCGCATGAAGAGAAAAGGAAAGGAAAAGGGAGACCACTCCAACTCTCCAAGCTGTGGCTGTCCACCCCCCTCCACCCCCCAAACTCTGGGCCAGGCTCTTCTCTGACCTCTGCACACCATGCTCGCTTCTGTGTCTGGCCAGGGTGGAGCTCAAGCTGGGGACAGCAGAAGAAAAAGTGCTAATGTTGGGATCCTAGCAGCGTCAATCTGCATGTTGCTACTTTTCTGCCCTCAGGCAGCTATGTGATACTGTGTGATGGCTTTTACAGTTGTGTTTGGTGAGAACAAAACCGGGAAGGGAGCATATGTTTAGCCATCTCACTTAGAACCAGAACCCTCCCTAAAATGTTAAATTAGGACGGGGGATTAAGCTCAGTGGTGCCGCCACCTGCCTCGCAAGTGCAAGGTCCTGAGTTCGGTCCCCAGTACAAAAAAAAAGTTAAATTAAAAGTTACAGAATGTGTACAGCATTGTATGTTTGTGCAAAAAATTTGTAAATGAGGCCAGGTGCAGTGGTGCATGCCTATAATCCCAGCTACTTAGAAGGCTGAGGTAGGATTCTAAATTCAAGGTCAGCCTGGGCAATTTAGCAAGACCCTGTCTCAGAAAAACAAAACAAAAACTGCACATGTTCATCATAGATGAACATCTATGTTCTTAGAGAAGTCTGCATGTTCACATGGAAAACCCATCTCCCCAGAAGGGGAGGAAAATCTAGACAAGGGCCAGTGAAAGTATTTCCACTTTTTAGCCTATACTTCTTTTGGAAGTATTTTAACCATGTACCATTACCTTATAATTTTCTTACGAGAAAAGGTGGGAAATATCATGGTTTAACTCAAAGTATGTATATTCAGAAGGTGTCTCTCCCAAGACATATTCAGTGTACCTTGCTAAACATTTATCTAATTAGATCCATGTAGGATTTGGCATGACCACTTTCTTCAAGCCACTTATGCACTAACAATTATTCTTTACAAAATAAGAAGTCTTAAGCTGAGCACAGTGGTGCACACCTATAATCTCAGCACTCAGGAGGCTAAGGCAGGCTGTCACAAATTCAAGGCCAGCCTGGGCTCCATAGCAAGGCCCTGTCTCAAAATTAAAAAAATAAAAACAAGATAGCTAGGCCTGGAGTGTTAATTAAGTTTATTCACATTTTTCCAAACATATACAATATTAAATATAAGCTAAAAATAATACATAGTTCTTAGAAAATACTACCCAATGCCCCCATTGTCTGAGCTTCGTGATTATGTGCTCAGCCTTTGTTCTTCCAGAATGATAGTGATCATGTTGCTCAAAACAAGCATAGAGTAACAGGAAACCTCCCCTAAATAAATTTTGTTATTATAAAACAAATCCAAAGAGAGGCCTCTAATGTCTTCATTCAGGTATCTGGAATTTCAAAATGGAAATAATTACTGAAGGAGCAAGCAGTGCTGTCCTATCTAACACTAGCAAGGAGAGGCAGATTTGGGCTGAAACTCTAAACACAGCCCCATGCAAGGGCTTGTTATCAAGCACACTTACCCTGAATAACTCCCATTCATTTTGTTGTACAAAGACCCACTTCAAGAGCAAGTATTTTTAAACGACCAAGTCACAATTTTAGGATCACCATTTTTTAAATAGAAACTGATCAGAGACCACACAGGAAGGACCTTCTATGGGTCAGGCACTGGCAGAATGAAGCAGCACCAGCTTCACCCAGTTAAACATACAACACATGAACTACTCATTCCCAAAGCAGTCAACTCACCCAGAAGTTTGGCTTCACTTCCAAAATGTGCTTTGCTTCTCACCCTCTTTGCCTATAACACTTTAGGATATTGTAAGCACCAAGAACTCTAACATTCCATTTACAAAGTTTATGCCTACTACAGCAGTCAAGGGATAGGGATAGGGAAAGATGCTACAGATTTTTTCTTGGGAAAATTATACAGGATTCTTTATTTGAAGTTAAGGCTACCAATATCCCAACAACCACTTTGCTTGCTCTCTTCTTGCAACTTTAGTTCAGGTCCCGGTCCCACAACCTAAGCGTACAGTCCTTTTGAGTTGCCAGCAACTGACAATGAAACACAAAGATACTATATATGAAATGAACATGTGCATTGTGTGCAAGTCAAATAACCTACAACCAATTATACCTTCAGCTAACTTTAAAAAAGAGTAAAAGCTGGACATGGTGGTACAGGACTGTAATCCCAGCTACTACAATGCCTCAGGCAGGAGGCTCATGAGTTCAAGGCTATCTCCAACAACTTAGCAAGACCCTATCTCAAATAAAAAAATATGAAAGGCTGAGGATATATCTTAGTTGTAGACTGCTTGACTAGCATATCCAAGGCCCTTGGTTCAATCCCAGGCACCACCAAAAAAAAAAAAAAAAAAAAAGGCATGAAAGTACTCAG